CACACACACACACTATAGTGCATCATCTACCTTTGCTGCATTCAACATATCTTCGGTGTCTGACTTAATTATAGTTTCTTAACATAATGATTACTTGATTTTCAACAGCTGTATAGCTTCAAGAAATGGGCAGTTTCTCTCTACTAGTAGTGATAAATTTACAGGCACTGATCATTCTGCTAAAGTTGATAAAGTTGAGGAAGCTGAGACAGTAAAGGTTCCTCCTCCTCCAACAGAGAAGGTATTTAATTGGTTTTTCTATGGCGTGATATTCTTGTGCCACGTCCTTGTAAATTTATCAAGTTGCTTTATGACGCCTTATTTTGTTATGGTTTATGATTCAGTTTCTTGTGCTTGGTGGAAATGGTTTTGTTGGCTCTCATATCTGCAAGGAAGCTTTAGATCATGGTTTGGCCGTTGCTAGCCTCAGCAGGTACCTCGTTCTGTTATACCAAGCCTATCCTCTTGTTAAAAACTGTAAATCTAAGTGCAAAATTCTTCTTGACAATTTCTCCCTTACGTGTACTCACATTCCAGTGGTATGTGAATATACAATAATATATGCAGAGATTGCATTTAGAATTTGTCTGAATATGTAGTTTTACGTACGAAGAGAATGTTAGTTGAAAAGCATACCTTATGATTTTAATATGTTAACTTAATGACCTTCTAGTTTTTAAAATGTTTTAGTTTGTGCCAAGTGCGGACTATCTGGTTTTGGTCTTTATGTTTGCTGAAAACCCCTTTACTGATCTCTTCAGATCAGGTAGAGCTTCAGTACAAGAATCGTGGGCCAACAATGTGATTTGGCATCAAGGTTGTCTGGTTGCAATGCAGTTTTGTTCATTTTGCTAATCTATTTTATGTTTTCTAGTTGGAGGAAAGTTTTTGTTAATTGAGTCTCTTTCTCTGCTTGAAGGTAACTTGTTCACCACTGACTCGTGGAAGGATGCTCTTAAAGGAGTAACCTCAATTGTGCGTACTCAGTTACCTTAAATAATGCTGAGTTGGTTACTTGTGTATGATTAACATAATCGTTGAGCTCATTCACCTGTGCCTTCGCTATAATTTATTTAAATTCATCCTGGTGAAAAGAGGTTACAGATGCTGCCATTACACTGATTATATATCCGCTGTCATATAAATTTTATTGGTTTGATTTCATTTTATGTTGTGTTACTTTTGAGTGGGCACTTACTGTAGACACAGGGTTGTTTTTAACTGTATCAGTATGATATGTCCAAATTATGTTTAGGCATCAGCTTCTATGGAAATTACATTGTTGCTCTGTAGGTTTACTTGTTCTTTAATCCAATTTACTCCAAGTTTTTGTGCTGACAGCATATGAATTTGGGTGTCAACAGTGATCTGAATGTGTAAATCAGCTGAGAAAGACCTCTTTGGATGATATGTAATATGAAATTTATCGTATTACCTGCTTTGGATATTATATGTTGCATTTGATGTTTATATGTCTTGAGAAAACATCTTTGTTAATGTCATGGGATGATGACATGAACTTTATGAAAACCTTTATTTGTGGATTTCCTTTCTTATGACCATCAGGTCTTGCCTTGTGTTCCTATCTGATTAGCTTGAGGTGTGACTTTCTCCTTATTTGTTTACTTCAATTTCTCGTATGGTCATTAGTGATTTTGTCTTGCAGATTTCTTGTGTTGGCGGATTTGGTTCCAACTCAGAAATGTACAAAATTAATGGGACGGCGAATATGAATGCTATTAGAGCAGCTTCAGAAGAAGGTACTGATTGTCCTGTAGATACTAACTTCTTGGTTGTCCACTTATGACTTTGCTCATTGATGTTCACATGATCATTCTTCCATATTCTTCTGAATTGAAGTGATTATGGCATAGCCTACTGATTTGGATGCATAGCCAAGGTTTATGGTGGATGGTAACGACTGATGGTTGCAATTTAAATATTTGGGACTGGCTTTTTATATCTTGATGCAATTTTTGTTTTGTGTTTATATGAGGCAACTGTTTGAGGTTTATTCTACTCTTTGGTTTTTTTTTTCCTCGTCACTTTAGTAGAGAAATATTTGGTTGCCTTCATATATTCTTTTTGGGTTTTGTGAAATTACCAAACATAGAGTTGCGCAGTTGATTATTTGTGGTTCATATTTTTCTTTTGTTAGGAGTCAAGAGGTTTGTATACATCTCTGCAGCCGACTTTGGTGTGGTAAATTATTTGCTAAAAGGATATTATGAAGGAAAGGTAATACCAGGAACTCCTACTTGCATTTACTCAAAGTTAAGTTCTGGTCGGTTTCAAGTAGTGGGCTGTGGTCACAGGAGAAACTCTGATATTATATGACAAATAAGCCTTGTGAAACATCTCAGCTACAGATTTCTGTAGTTTTTCAAAAAATAGTTATTGCTTTCAAAATTATTCTTCAATCTGCATGATGCTTTCTCTGATGTGTAATGCTGTGTTGTACAGCGGGCTGCTGAGACAGAGCTACTCACCAGATATCCATATGGAGGTGACCCCCCTTCTCCTCCCCCTCCCTCCTCTCTCTTTCTCTCTCTTACCTGCACACACAAAGAAAAAGTAATATATAAATAAATGAATGATGGGATATGTTGCACAGAAAGTACCATTTCATCTAGGTTGGCATTGTCTTGATGAAGATGAAAAATGACTTTTTCTTCACTTCACCCTAAATTATGAACTGAGATTACTCGAAAGTAATTTTTTTATTGTTGTGCAACAGTTTGAGTTTTAACAACATGTAGAGCTTCAATATGAGTTAACTTGTTCATATATGGCTATTGGGTGGTACCCCAGCTTGTACTTATGCCTATTATTTGGATATAATGAACTGGGCTCACTCTTAATATGACTGGAAATTGTTCATGTTCTCAGGAGTGATTCTGAGGCCTGGATTCATATACGGAACTCGCTCTGTTGGGAGCATGAAATTGCCACTTGGTGTGATTGGTTCCCCGTTGGAGATGGTAATATTATTATTGTTTTTATTATCATTATTATCATTATTTTTGTATTAAAACATTTTACAACAGTAACTTGATGTCATATTTTTTAATTAGCCTGAATTTAGTTTACCTTTCAAGAAATTTGTACACATGCTACATGTTGAAATAAATTGCCGGCAGTTAGCATATTGACATTTTTAGTATTGAAAAACCCGTGCAGGTGCTTCAGCATGCGAAGCCTTTGAACCAAGTCCCACTGGTCGGACCCCTACTCACGCCACCGGTTAATGTCACTGCTGTGGCTAAAGTTGCTGTGAGAGCGGCAACTGATCCCATTTTCCCTCCAGGCATTGTTGATGTCTATGGAATATTACGTTATAGTAAGCAGAGATAAGTGTGGTATGCACATATCATCTTAGTTCCATTATGAATGATTCTATATGGAGACCTAACTCAGCGATAATGGAATGCACGCCATTTTAGTTCCATTATGAATGATTTTATATGGAGACTCTAGTTTCTTTGAAGAGGCCTGAATAAACGATTAATTAGTGGAATAATCTGTTTTTGGTGTCTCCATGAAAATCCTATGTTACGAAGAGATGTTTGTCAACGCTTGTGTGTTATTGGTGGGTATTTATGTTGATATTTTATAAGTGCATATTAGATTTCTAACCTTGAAGATAAAACTACATTGAACCTATATGAAATTTTACCATGAGGATCAGCAAATTGAATGTAGGGTAACTGAATCATTCGCGAAAACCGCTTGGTTCGAATCTTCAAAGCTTAAGCTTGACTCGTTCATTTACTTAAAAGAGTCGAGTTCATGTTAATAATTGAACTCATTCATTTAATGAGCCGAATCCAGCATGTTAAGGGACAACTTTTTAATATTATAGGTTTCAAACCTTGACACATGCACACTTGGCGACCACAAATTAAGTTTATGAATGAATAGTTTGTTTAAGATTTTGTTTAAGATGTTGAGTTTGTTAAACGAATCAAATCGAGCCGGTTTATGTGTACGAGTCCAAACATGAGCTACTCTGTTTAATTTGAATTTAAGAGCCGGTTTATTTATTAAATTGGGTACGAGTTCAAACATGAGCTATCCAATTTAATTTGAATGATAAAGTTTGTCTTTGAAGATAAAACATAATTTTTTTAGCAAAAACTTCAAAATTTTCAGCATGTGATTTTCTCCAACGAAATACGTTCTTCAACGACATTGAACGCAAGATCCAAAAGTTTTCCATTTGGAAATATTCTCTTTCTAGAGTCTTTTCTCCTTGTGAGATTAGGTTTTGTGGTTCTTTCCTCTTTCACCCCGATCCGCTCCAGTTAGACTTCGATTTGTCTTCCCATGTTATTTTATCTCCTTCTTTGATTCCCTTTCACCTCGCGGTCCCTATTTTCGGCGGTCTTTTCTTTATCGTTATTTGTTTTCGGGTTCTTTCCAGTCCAGAGGGTGTTTTAGGGGTTTCCGTTAGGCTTTTAGATTTCTGGGATGGGATGTTGTTTCTCTAGCTGATTAGGGTAGTGTTTGTTGCCAGGGTTACAAATTTGTGGTTTGTTTTGCGATTGTTTGGGGGGAGTGTTATTTTGTCTCTCAAATTTAGGGTCGTGTTTGTGATCTAGGGTTTCTTCACTTTGGTTAGCATGGAGAGTGATTTAGCAGACAAACTTCAAAAGTTTGTGCTCTCGGAAAAGGAAGATGTGGGAGTAGAGCTAGCGGATCTAGACATCGCTCCCACTCTTCTTGAGTGTCGGCTAAGTCTTATAGGTAAAGTGTTTGGGGATAAGAAAATCAACTTCACTGGGTTGAAAGCCACATTAGGTAATATTTGGAGCACCAAATTGTCGTTCTCCGTTAGATGCATTGGGTTCAATTTTTTTCAATTTTTGTTTCAGGCTGAAGAGGATCTAGAAGAATCCTTTATGGTAAAACTTGGTCCTTTTATAGCTAGTACATTATTTGAAAAGATGGTCTCCGGGTCCAGTTGAGTTCCTCGTTGGAGGAAAAATTAAGGTTTAGATGCAAATCCATAACCTTCCCCTTCGCTGGGTGGCTTATGAAACTGGTCTTAAACTGGGCATGTTAGTAAGTAGATCCTTGATGTTTTGGTGCCATCTGCGGGTAGTTGGGATGGACAGATTGTCAAAACTCTGGTGGAAATGAGGTTATCTGAACCGATTCCACGAGGAGCCAATGTCAAATTAGGGGGGAACGCAAATGGGTTGATTTTAAATATGAGCATCTTCAAACTTTCTGCTACTATTGTGGTAGAATATGTCATAGTAACAAAAAATGTGTCACTAAGAAAGAAGATCTCAACAGAGGAGTGATTAGACATGGTCAATTTGGGGATTGGCTCAAAGTTGTCCCTACCAGCAACCTTTGAGTCTAGAAGCTTTAACTCCTCTGCAAGGGGTAGTGGCCAGGGTAGAAGTGGAGGGGGTGAGTTCTTTAGACCAGAGCCTGTGGGTAGTGAATTTGGTAAGGAGAGTGGAAAGCAAAAGATTATCTCTAAAACCCCTGATAAGGGGTTCTGATCATAAGGCCCACTGATAATTCATAACCTCTGAGGCTAGAGGACTGTGTAGGTAAAGGGGAGTAGAGCAGGGATGTAGGAGATAAGGATGTTTCTGTGGGAGATCAGAATGATTCTCAGTTAATGGACATCACTGTCCAATCAGCCACAATTGGTGGTAGGATCCTTTAGAGGAAGAACAAAACCTTCACTAGAAAAACTAGAACCACTAATAAGATAGTGAGAGGAGATAAGGGTCCTGTAGAGGGTCAAAGATGTAGCCCTATAGTTGAGGAGAAGGTGAGTGTTAAGAGAACCTTTGATAAATGTGAAGGCTCTAACCAGGGTAAGTTTTAGCAAGATCTTTCGTAGTAAGAGACAGAAAAAAGTTAACTTATCAATCTCTTTGATGGAGAAAACCAGCCATAACTGGTCCCAGGGTGATCAATGAAGGCTTCGGTGTGGA